ACCAATAGTTTCACTTCCGGCCACTAAGGAAATTGTGTCACTAAGGAAATTTCCTTAAACTGATGAAAAATTATATGAAATTTTTAAGGAATTTCGAATTGGCCTTTAAAAAAGGTGGAAACAAAGACATTTCTTTTGTGATAATTTGACTTCAGAATATTTCTCTAGTCAATCCCATAATCAACAGAAATGTTTTTGTTTCATTTAACTTGTTATAAGTTTTTATTTCGAAGTTATATTACAATTTATTGAGCAAATGGTTTGAATTGTTCTTCTTTAGAAAATACCGAAACCAACACAGAGCCGACTAGGTTCTTCCATCCCAAAAAGAAACAATTTGGACAGCTCTGTAGCCTTTGCTGTGTGTGTGTGTGTGTGTGTGTGTGTGTGTATGTGGAGGGTATTTCATAGAGAGGGGGTTTAACCTATTAAGTGCCAGCACTAACCCACCCGGCCTTGATGAGTAAAATGTCTGGCATTAGACAGCTTACGAGAACAAAGTGGGTCTTGATCAATTTCTTCCTCTAAAAAGCAATGTGTAGCTATTCTAACCTCATCTTCAACACCATTATTTTCACATCTTGTCAAATGCCAATATTCAGGCTGAAATAAATATTAGATTAATTGATAAATTACAGTCAAAATACAACAACTTTCCCATTTCTGCTTGTATAGTCTGTTGTCAACAATTACTATATATGCCCGAATTCTGCGATTCTCTGTAATTTGTTCTGTTTATTGTCTTATTGGTACTAAGCGGTATAAATTACCAAATTATGAGCAAATGTAGATCATTCCAGCCTGCTGAAATGCAGATTTGCCCATACGGGAATAGGTGGTACGAGAATTACGCAGTTCAATGCCAAACATACAATACATATAAACAAGCACAAACGCACCTTATTACTGGACTTTTCAACATTATAATGCGTTGACAATATTCCATCACGTTGTTCGACATTTGAAACACGTGGTTTTAACTTGACTGCTTCTCGACCGTGTGGCACATAATTACACAAATTTCTTACTTCAATCATTAGAAAGAAGCTTCAACTTCAATCTAGAACTGTGTTTTGATGCGATCTCACTTTTCATAAGCAAAAAATCAAAGGAAAAGTTTGTGAAATTCCAAACAAGAACTGATGGATTTTGCGTTTCGCGGTATGAGCCCGTTGACACATTGGCCATTAGGGAAAACTTCATATAAGCGCAAATGACTAAATGTTAGGGAATGCATTATGCGGCACCCAAGAACTCTCACAGCTTGCCAACAAGATGTGTTCGTACTAGTTGTTCCCAGTTGTTGATACGTTAGACTGTCTTATCATCTTGTAACAAGGTTGAGGAGGCCAACAAACTCGCAACAAGTTGTCACAAGTCTGATGTCGTCTTGCAGTAACAAGTTTTTAACAAGGTGGTGGCAACAAGCTCGTTGCAACCTGTTACCTGTATTAGTCTTGTTGGAACAACTTTTATAAAATAACATGTATATAACGCGTATTCTGATTGGTCGAAAGCCGTGTTTGGATCAGGCCATCCAAACACGGAAGACTACCGTGTTGTTGTTATTTTATAAAACAATTACTTTATGGTTTCCGTGTTTGGAT